CTCATCCCTCCCAAGGCTATCCCTACCTGGTTATGGTCCACACAGTCAAGAAAACACAGATAAACAAATCTAGCGACACTCATATCTTTGTAAGAAAGAGCTTTACATCAAGAAGTAATTGTAGATCAGGGAAACATCCCAGCCCAGTCCAACTCAAGTCCGTAAGTCTGATACTAGTCCATAAGTCCCTCTTCAGACTCACACAGCCACATGCAGAACGCAGGAAGATCGCAGGCCGGTAGGTGCAAGGTCGTGTGGATCCAATGGCGGTGGAAGCATCTCCAGGACTCTGTCAGCAGCCAGGGTCTGCCAGCAGGAAGGAGGGCAGAGAGAGAGAGGGAGGCTCCCAGGGCCCCACAAGGAGTCACCATAAGACTGAGACCTGATTGACAGGCTTAACTACACCCCTACACTTGTATAAATCTTCCAAGTCGACATGAAATGATGTAACTACCACAACACCTTCCTGGTAGTCTCTGCTTTCAGCCCAAATCCATTTGCCATCAGCAAGGATAGCCCTTGTTCCACTTCCCCTTTTGCATCTTGCCCGCACCTCTGTTAGCTCCCTGTCCATGAAGTGCTCCAACTGTTGTTGGATGATTTCCAGTGAAATCTTGCTTGCGTGTCCTATCAGTAATACTGTTCTAGAATTTGAGCATTCTGTGGGGTCACCTTTCTTTGGGATGGATGCAAATAAAGACCTCTTCCAATCAGTTGGCCAAGTAGCTGCCTTGCAAATTTCCTAGCCTAGACAAGTGAGTGCTTCCAGTGTTCCACAAGCTTGTTGAAACATTTCCATTGGTATGCCATCGATGCCTGCCTGCTCGTTTTTTTGGCTAATGTTCTCAGGCAGCCTGAACTACTTCCTTCAGTACCATTGGTTCTGGCTCACATGCTACCTCCTGAAATGTGAGAATCCAGTTCTTTTTGATCCAGTGACTGTGGATTCTTTGCATCTTCTTTGGATTTTTCCTGCATCTTCCACTATTTTGCCTGTAGAATCTTTCAGTATTGTAACTCAAGGCTTGGCATTTTTCTCGAGTTCTTTCGGTTTAAGCTGTGCTGAGCATGGGCTTCCATTCTGGTTTTTTAACTCTAGCTCTTTGCACATTTCATTACAATATTCTACTTGTCTTCCTGAGCTGCCCCTTGGGGAATTTTCTGTTCAGCTTTGACCTCATCCTTCTTCCGTGTGCCTTCCCGACTCGCGATTAAGAGCAAGTTCCAGGTCTCTTCCGACACCCACTTTGCTCTTTTCTTTCTGCCTGTCTTTTGAATGACCTTTGCTCCCTTCAGGAATGATGCTCTTGAGGTCCTCCCGCAGCTCACCAGGTCTCCTGTCATTGATGTTCAGTGCAGCAAATCTGTTCTTGAGAGGTTTTCGAAATCCAGGTGGGACATCCCCAAGGTTGTGCTTTGGCTTCTGCGGACTGGTTTTCATGTTCTCCGTCTTCCATCTGAATTTACAATCGAGCAGTTGATGGCCTCTTCCACAGTTGACTCCAGGCCTGGTTTTGGCTGCTGAGACTGAGCTTCCCCGGGTGTCTCTTGAATTCTGTGTATTCCACCTGAGGAAGTCCGTGTGTTACAGTCACCTTTTATGTTGTTGACAAAAGGTATTTGCTCCGAACAAGCTGTTAGTCTTGCAAAATTCTACTTTCGTCTCTACCACCACGACCGTCTTTTCCAAGTACCGTTTCTTCCTCCTTGTTTGCTACTTTTGCATTTATTGCCAATAGTTATCACTGTTGCCACTAATTGTCACTGCGTCCTCATTGCATGTTTGATCAATCTCAGATGGGAACATTGGTAGATTTCTTCAATTTCTTCACCACCAGCGTTAGTGGCTGGTGCATACTTTTTTACACCTATGGACAGAATGAACATTAGGACAGGCACGTAGACTATGCTGTTGCTCAGATGAATGTTAGAAAAGAGTTAGGAATGTAAGTTTGTGATGTCCACATTGGGCGGTTGCCCAGCCAGCTGCCCCCCTTAGAGAGAACCCTGACAAGTGCCATTTTTGCTACTGGTTTGACAAACTCAACAAAGAATTAGGTAGTCGCTTGCTGAACTGGTGCAAACTGGCTGAATCCCACCACTGGATTTAACCCTACCACGGCACTCTCCCTCAGTGTGGCCCCTCACAATTATATCATGGGTCCAATAGGCGCAACTGTACGGTTATGCTATATAAGGATCATGGTAAAGTCAGAGAGAATAACAGAGCTAGGAGAGAGAGTAAAATGAAGGAGTCAGACACATTGCATGGTAGCAGGCTCACCTCTTGGACGGCATGATCTCACCAGCCAGGTCCGCGCACAGCGCGGGCAGAAAGGGCAGGAGGAGTCTCTCTTTATTTCTGGCCAAGGCCCATCTATACTTAGGGGTGTGATTACAGGTAACCACACACGTCACATGAAGGGGCCGTTCAATGGGCATACACGTAACAGGAGGGGGACGAGCTAGGGGTGTGCACGCAATAGGAAGGGGAGGCACTAGGGGCACACATGTGACAGGAAGGCACAAATGTAACAAGATGGACGGGCTCTAGAGTCAAGATGGCAGCCTGACCTTGGTCTCTGAGTTGGCTTGACCATAGGTGTCTTTGAGCCCTTCTCCAGGGGAGCCCTCTGTGATCCTTATCAGAAGGGAGGGGGTCCTACTTAGGGTGGGACGGACAATAGTCTGATTGCCTTAGATGCTGACAACCTTCAGGGCGATGACCTCCAAGTGTAGTCAGTGACCATGTGCTTGCTGACAGCACCTGAAATTTGGCATTATTATTGGGGGCGGTAACTTTTACTTAGGAGAATATGAGTGGGACACATCTCTAGCCCACAAGCCTGAAGGTTTCTAAACTCCACGGGAGCCTTGGCCTCCCAGACTCCTAAGAATGTTGAGTTTGCCCGCATACGCTCTCTTCCCGGTTCTCAGATTCCCACAGGCCATTGCTTCTCTAACCTGCCCCCCTTTTATAGACGTGCACAGGAAAACCTACGAAAGCCAGAGTCTGTGTAAGGTGGAAACCTGCCCGAGAAGGAAAACCCGAATATCGTCCACTCATAGAGTGGACGAAGCCCAGTGGCTGCTGGCTGGGCTACTTACTCACAGCCAGGTCAGCGGTGTGAAACCCCCCGCTGCTCCCCGGGAGAAAGACAGGGCTTCCTCCTGCCGGACAGGCTTACAGTCTCCGAAACCCACAGGGCGGTTCTACCGGGTGCTGCCGGGTCGCTATGAGTCAGCATCGAGTGACAGAGCGCAGAACAGGCTAAGACGGCACCCTGCCACAGGCAGGGACTTTCGAGACTCGGGAAAACCAGGCAAGCTGAGAGAGTCTGGCTCTCACTGGGTGTCATGTCGCTTGTCTTCAAACTTGTGCGATTCCAAGAGGCGCCACTGCGTACAGCGACCTGTGTGCCATTTTATAAACCAAGGGGGCTCCCCATAATGCAAACACACCGTCCACTCTCTCCCTGGGCCCCTTCCACACAGGTCCCAGCGACGAGAGCCTTTCCTGGAGTGGGTTCCAAGGGGCCAGGGGAGGGTCAGCCACAGCCCAGTAGGGAGGGCATCCCCAGGCACCAAGCTCTGTGGCAGGCAGTCTCCTCCAGGGAGGCTGGGCCCCACAGCCCCTAGAACTGGTCCCCTGGCAAGGAGGAGGGCTTTCCCCTGTAAAATGGAAAACCTCACTGGTCCCAGCTCATAGCGACTGCAGAGTGGACCCAAGACTGCACATCTGTGGTGGATTTCATGCAGCAGCGTCTTTCTACCCCGGGGTTTGAACCCGCGACCTCACCGCTAGCAGCCCCAGTGCCATTCCCACGCCTGTACTCAAGACGCCCTTTAGGCAGTCACCCTGATTTGTTTGCTTTTGAAGCTCAGCTCACATTCATTAGAGGTTTTCTATTCTTATATTTATTTCGTGAATGAAATCGCCTTATAGGTTTTTGGTCTCAAATTTGACATTTTGGACTTTTAAAATAATCTGACTAGGTTTTTCATATAGGTATTAGCATGCAACTTTTCACAAATAGCTTTTTGCTCTTGAAAACATTTCTATTACACCTGGGGTTATTTGTTTTCTTCCAATTTCTGTTTTGCGTATGTTTACGGTCTCTTACTGGAGACCAGTTTTGCCATAAATCTTAAGGGACTCGGAGCATGGCAGGGGGGAGGGGGGGACAGGGAGGGGGGAGGTTCATGTTTTTCCTCCAGGTCCTTTGTGGGTGCTTGGGTCTCAAGCACAGGAGGCAGGGGCTGCAGGCAGAAGGTGTTCTTGATGCGGATAGCTGGGGCTGGGGTCTCGGGACTTGAAGTCTGGGGTCTGCTCTGTTGCTTAGTGGCTTGGGGGGCCCAGACAGGCCCCTGTCTCTGGCCCCTATCTCTCCAGGCTGAGGCGAGGAGGGGCTTCCAAGTGGCCTTACCCACTCTGTCAGGGTGGGGTGGGGGCCGGGTGGGCAGCCCGTTTAAACCTGGGCTTTGCCTCTGTGAGTTGGATGGGAGGAGGGAGCCTTTGCACAGGGGGAGCTGTGGGATGGGGGCCATTGAGTGCTGAGAAGGAGGGCTGCCTGGGGCAGGGGATGGAACACATGACCTTCCCTATCCCCAGGTACTTTGTGTAAATGGAGGCACTCGGTTGAGGTGGGTGTGCATGTACATGTGGGTGTGCATGTACGTGTGTGTGTTGCTGGGGTCTTCCAGGGTCTTTGAGGAGGCTGAGCCGGCAGGGAGACTTCCTGGAGGAGGAGCACCTGGTGCTGCCGGCAGCCTGACTATGCCAGGTGCAGGGTGGGCAGGGGGCAGAGAGGACACCTGGGAGGGTCCCTGCCCATCCTCTCGGGCTGTATTTTCCTCTTTAGCAAGTGTGAGAGGAAGCAGTACAATGAGGGAGTGGGGAGGGGGCTGGGGACACGAGGGAGGTCTATGTGCAGGGGCATGGCTGTGCAGAATGGGGGGTGCCAGCCCACCCCATCAGAGCCCTCTCCCCCTCCTCCCAGATCCCCCAGATCAGCTACGCCTCCACAGCCCCCGACCTGAGCGACAACAGCCGCTATGACTTCTTCTCCCGAGTGGTGCCCTCGGACACGTACCAGGCCCAGGCCATGGTGGACATCGTCCGTGCCCTCAAGTGGAACTACGTGTCCACGCTGGCCTCCGAGGGCAGCTACGGCGAGAGCGGCGTGGAGGCCTTCACCCAGAAGTCCCGCGAAGATGGTGAGTCAGGTGCCGGCCTGCGGGCTGGGGCTGGGGGCTGGGGCTTGGGCTTGTCCCTGGTGGGCTTTGTGACACCACCCCGTGGACTGAGCCCTGCCCGAGAGCCACCACCAGGCCCTGAGGTGGGTGCGGCCAGCCCTGGGCTGTTTCCCTTCTTGACCTGTGGGCACTGGGGCCCTCGAGGTGGCCTCTCAGGGTGTCAGAGTGCCTCCTGTGGGTGGCAGGTGGGAGGCTTTTGCCAGTTGCATAGGGCCGTGCCCATGAAGGGACTGCCCACCTTCCTGGTGTGAGGGACAGTGGGATGGGGGCAGTTCACACAGACAGAGGGGAAGGGAGGTGGGATGGAGCGGTCTTGCCTGAGGGAGCCTTCAACCAGCCAGCCAGGTTCTAAGGGCTGGTGTCATGGGGCAAGGGATTGAGAGACTGGGATTTGGAAGACTCTACAGTGCAGCTGCCTGAGCGGAGTGGGGCGGTGGGGCTAAGCCCTCTGCTCCTCTGTGAAGTAGGGCATTCCTGGGGGCCTGGCCCTGGGGAACTCTGGGGAAGCCATTTGCTGTCCTGAAGTGGCCCCCACTTACCACACTGCCGTCACTCCCCCATTAAGTGCACCGCATTCCCTTAGATGGCTGCATGCAGAAGCTCCTGATAAAGCTTTTAGGCGGCTTTAGCACCCCGCGGTAAGAGGAGGGCTCGAATACCTGACACCACAGGTTCCGGGCTCAGCCACAAGGGCTCACTGTTTAGCAGGGCGCTGGGGCCTGGGCCGTGGAAGGGCCGTTCCTAGGGGCAGGCCTGGGGCCGAGGTGGGGCAGCAGCAGACCCCGGGGTTGGGGTGCCCCAGTTGAACCCCGGGGACCTGTACTTGTCAACACCGTCTTGACTGAAGCAGGACCAGAGTGCTCCTTAGAAGCAAGGATGGCGAGACTTTGTCTCACCAACTTTGGACCTACTGTCAGGACCTCCCGGGCCCGGGAGAAGGGCCTCTGCTTGGTTAAAGTGGAGGGGCAGTGGAGAAGACGAAGACCCTCCACAAGATGGGGTGGCACCGGGGCAGCAGCCCTGGGCTCTAACATAAGGACCGTCGTTGTGAGGACCGTGCTGGACCAGGCGGGCATTGCCTTCTCTTGTACATGGGGTCGCTATGGGTCGGAACGGACACTGTGCCCCTAGTAACAAGCTTGCTAAGAGGAGGGCTCACTGAGCCCAACCCAGGCTGCAGGACAGATGGAGGGATGCCCCATGTGGCCTCCTTGAAGTCCTTGTTGGCGGTCCTGGGGGAGGCAGGGGGCCCTTCCCCTCCTGGCCCTTCGCCCCACCTCCCTGTAGAGAGGGGCCCTCTGCCCAGCCCCTGGCATCTCCCTCGGCCCGAGGTGCCCTCAACCTTGTGTGGCTGCCGGCTGTATATTTATACCCGCATAGCCCCAGGACTCTAATTGCTTTTTCTAAGGACCACATCGTGTCCAGAGGCTGGCTTGGTAACACCCTGCGGGCATAATCCTGCTATAAATCTCAGATAAGCCCCTTTAATTGTACAGCCAAGCTGCTTGGGTTCCTGCAGCTGGGTGGAGGGGCGGCAGGGAGGCAGGAAGTGGGGCAGCACTGACGGATGGGGCCGGGCAGTGCTGGGCAAGCAGGCCCAGGAGTGGGAAGCAGGGGAGATGGGAACTTGATCCTCCACCCGAGGGCCATAGGGGGCAGCACCCTTGGGTCTTGGGTGACTCTATAGCCATAGTTCCCCTTCCCTTCCAGGCTGGCTCCACCCTCCCTCTCCCTGCACCTCTGGAGACCCCTTCTCCAAACAGGCTGCCCACAGCAGCAGCTGCCGCAGCCCTGGCAGGACTGGATGGGAAGGGATGAGGCAGGCCAAGGGACCAAGGAGCCAGAACCCTGCACTTCGGCTGTGCTCAGTGCCTGCTTAAGCGGCAGGCCCATGCCCCAGTGCTTATGTAAGACTGCTGGGACTCTGAGTGGCGTTTATTGGGTGCCCGCAGCACTCCCAGCTCCTTACTCCCTGGGATTTTCCTGGTCCTTGGGGGCAGGCATAGCTCTGCACCCATTTTAGAGGGGAGCAAACTGAGGCCAGATCACTGGCATCTGGTCACAAGGCAAGTTAGGGTGGCGAAGGGATTTGAACCTAGGCACCCAGGCTTCAGGACCCAAGCCTTAAGTGCTTTTGCATTCTTGTCTATTCCATCCCCACCCCTGCCCCCATCTTAACTGAGACCTGCCAGGGGGAGTCAGGGGTGGTGCACCCCGCTCGGGTGCTAATCCAAATGGTCGGCTGTTGGCGTCCACCCAGAGTACCTCAGAAGAAAGGCCTGGCGACCTGATTCAGAGACACCAGCAACCTTACAGAGCTCAGCTCTGGTCTGAGAGCTCAGGGTTCACGTGAGTCTGGCCACTGGTTAACCGAGACCCACCCAGGTCAGACCCTGTGCAAGGGCTGGGGGACAGACACACACACACACACACACACACACACACACACACACACTCCCCGAGGGACACCACCTAAGGTGGGAAGAACAGAGGGGGCACACTTGGGGTGGGGTCTTGGCTTTGCTTTTTTGGCTGAAATGATGTCTCTATTGTCTGATTTTTAAAAAAAACCTGGCATCTACTCAGAAGCTGGGTGGTTAGAATAAGGAAGTCTTCCTGGAGACTGCGCAGTCACCCAGGGCTGCCCCCCACCCCCCGGGCCCCCTCCTCCATCACCGAGGGCCTCCCACCCTGCTGCGCCTCCTGGGGAGGCGGCGGGGGGTGGGGGTGGGGGGGTGTAGCAGGGCAGACCTTCCCTCTGCCACCAGGCGCCAGTGTAAAGCAGCTGCCGGAGGCCCTGGCTGGGCCTGACCCCTGCATGGGCAGCTAGCTAGGCCCCCCTGCCCGGCCCGCGGAATGAAATTTGATTTGGAGGAACGTCGTTAGGCGGTGAAGAGAGAAGGGGAGAGAAAGCGGGCTCCAGTTGGCCAAATTGAAATCAAAATTGAGTGGCCGGTAGAAAGAGGCGGCTGTCCCTTGTAGCCTAATCCCTGCGAAAGATTAGAGATGTCTTTGGCCGTCTATTGCACTGATTCGCCCTCTGAAGCATAAATCATCCGTGAGTGGCTCAGGGGAGTGGGTGGAGGGGCGAGCCGTGGCAGGAGCCGCAGCTGGCAAGTCGTGGGCATTTTGGGGGCCAGGCCCCAGGCCCCGATAAGGAGCATGTTTGTGCCCATTTCATGGATGAGAACACTGAAGGGCAGAGAGCGCAAGAGCTGCTGCCCCAAGGACGAGATGCAGCCAGGACCAGAGGGTGCTGGGTCTAGACCCCAGTGCAGTCCTTCCGGAGGGAAGCCCCACCCTGCACCCTCACAGAGCCTTCCTGAATGCCTTCGAGTTGTGTAGCGCTGTGCTCATACAGGCGGGGGCTGTGAGAGGACAGAAGGACGGACATTTATTTGAAGGGGTGCAGCCACTCAAGTCCAAAATTCATGGTCAGTCTACTGGCGACTTCTACAGGCTTGTGTCCCCAGAGCCACAGCTTAGGTGACCGACAGGACACAGCGCAGAGTGCGGGCTCCCATTCTGCCAGAATCACACCCCGAGGAGACTCCCTTGTCCACGGGTGGATGGATTACCGCCGTTGCGGAAGGTGCTTACATCACATTACACTAACTCGTCTCACGGAACGGCAACGCGTCGAGTATTGGGCCAAACCACTGGGAACCCCAGCTTAGCCAAACTGATGTCGAAAATGAGTCGTGGCGCTAACCAAGAGTGGGGGGTGGTCTCTTACCCACTGGGGGGGGGGGGGCAGTCACTCCTGGGGCTGTTTGTGGCCAAGCCTTGCACCACGTAGGTGCCTGGGGGTGTTGGCCATGGGTGCAAAGTCCGTGCTGAGCACCGTGCGGCACGTCAGGAGCCCCTGTCATCGAGGGGCATATTGGGGACACAAGTTGTATTCAGAGCAATTGAACTTAGGTCCCAGACCCATCACAATAACTGACCCCACCGGCGTGTCTGAGGGGGACTTTGTAATAGAGTCAGTGGGTGGACAGTCACTGCAGCGTGAGATCCCCAGAGGGACCCAGCCAGACAGGTTGAACTTCAGAGTGCCTCCCCACCCCCACTTAGAGCAAGACCCCGAGGCTCACGGAGGTCAGAGCCCGTCAAGCCAAGCACCCAGCATGGCCCCATACAGACGGGGCCCTTGGTATAGGGTTAAAGGCACTGTGTCCCCCAGCCTGGTCCACAGCACCCCCATTCTCTCAGGAGTGTGTGGTTTATGCCCTGGGCAACCCCGTGACCCTTGACTGGGCCCCGTCCAAGGGTAGGCAGGCCCCGCACACTACCACTGCTCCTGGTGACACACCCCGGGGCCGGTATCTTTGTCTCTATTTTGTAGCTGAGGTTCCGAGAGGTGGAGTGTTTTGCCTAGGATCACACAGAGAGGTCTCAGAGCCAGGACCTGGACCCAAAGCCCCTCTCCTCCATTGGCCTCTCCCCCCAGCTCGGTGGTCACATCAGGGAGAAGGTAAGAGGTCAGGCTCCACCAGACAGACAAGGGAAAGACCCCTCTTCAGTCTCCTCATCTGTGAAATGGGGGGTCAGACGGAGCGGTGCTCCCGGCGCTCGGAGGAGAGAGCTGGGCGCTGCGCACTGACACTTGTGATTCGGGCTCTAGCCACCTGGGCCTCTGCTCTCCCTGGGGCCCCGCCATTCCTGGGGAGTCCGGGGGAGTGCTGGGCGGCCTGAGGGGTGGGCATGCTGTATGCAACCCGACTCAGGCTGCAAGCTGTGCTCAAGGAGGGGCAGGCATAAGAACTGCAGGAGCCAAGGCCATTCCAGAGGTGGGGAGGAGCACCCTCGGGCCACCCGGTTTGTTGCAGAGGGAGGCCCCGAACAAGTTCTAAAGGTGGTCAGTACAGACGTGCACGCGTGTTTCCGGGAGTGTGACTAGCAGGCTTCCGGAGGGGCGTCTGTGTGCGCGGACATGGGCGTGTGTCTGGGGTCAGTCCTGTGTGCACTCATACCTGCGGCTGCAGCCGGATCTTGGTCCTGCGGCGACTGACCTGGAATTAGACGTGCAGAGCAGGCCCGCCTGGGCCCCGGAGATAACCCGAGAGTCAGTGCTGCCGCCCCCTGCCAACCCCCCACCCACCGCCCTGGGCATACTCAGGGCACGGGGTCTGGAGCATCAGCCTTGGCATCCCCTTGACCTTTCCATGCCCTGGAGGCTACGTGCACCCCCATTTACCTGCACTAGTGGTATTGCCAGTTCACGGGTGGGAACCCAAGCTTAGGGATGGCAAGGGGCGTGCCTGCGGTCACATCTCAGAGCCCAGGGCTCCCTGGCAGGGAGACGGGACGTGGAAGCCCATCAGCTGGGGTCGCTGGTGGAATTCAGAGGACAGGGACCGGTTCTGCCAGCTTTGCCCGCGCCAGCTCACTTTGCCGCCCAGACACCCCCAGCAAGCACTTGTCACCCTCCCCACACCGAGAGGTGGCCTCTGCCCCCAGGTCACACGGCTGGAACGCGGCAGGGGCGGGCTTTTATTCCAGGTGGAGCTGCAGCGCCCACGTGTAGGGGGCAGGGAGGACGCAGGACAGCTCCTGGCCGGGCCCCTCCATGGGGTCACTCTGAGCTTCTCAGTGAGCAAGTCCCCCGGGCACATCGGAGCCTGGGCTGCAAGATGGGGACAAACGCTTCCCTGGGGGTGGCAGGAGGGGGCTGGGATGTGGGTCTCTAGAACCTGCTCCCGAGAGGCTGTCCTGCCCTGTGGCTCTGGGAGAACTGAGGTGTGACCCCCTAGCCCCCCATCCTGTTGCTATTCTGGAGGCAGAGGGAGTCAAGCTGTTGCTGGTCCAACCTCCAACTCCAGCTCCCAGGGCGGGGCGGCGCACGTGCGTTTCCTCGGCTCCTGTCCCCCAGCTGCTCCTAGGGAGAGAGACGAGGCTTTCTGCTGTCCTAGAGAGTGACATTCTGGGAAACCCACGGGGCAGTTCTAGCCTGCCCTGTTGGGTCTCTCTCTATGAGTCGGCCGGGACTCGATGGCAGTGTGTTTGGACGTGGGCAGCCACTGGCAGCCGAGGAGGCACACGTCCAGGGTTCCTGCCTCCAGCTGGCGGGGCTGGGCGACCTCCTTGGGCTTGGCCTGCTGGACCCTCCCTGGGGCACCCTTCTCCTGGGGCCTTTGAAGGGATGAGGGAAGTGCTTGGCCCAGTCTAAGAGCGGTGCCCCTGGAGGGGCAGGCACTGCTCAACGCTCTGGGGGACCCCAAGATCCAGAAGCCCAGTGCCCCCTCTTCTTCCCTTCCAGCACCTCCCCAACCTTCCACTCACCCCACCTCCCATTCTCTCTGTGGCAGCTGTCCACCTCCTTGCTGCTGCTCAAGAGTCGCCAGGCACCAGCCAGCCTCAGGGCCTTTGCACTGGCTGTCCCTCCAGTGGGAAAGCTCCTTCCAGAAGTCCACTGGGCGCCGCCCTCGGTACAGCTTCAGCTTTCCTGTGCCCCCTATCTCAAATAGTGCCTGACTGGTACATCTCTGGATCTCTGGTGACACAGTGGTTAAGCACGTGGCTACCAACCAGAGGGTCAGTAGTTCGAACCCACCGGGTGACCCTCGAGAGAAAGATGAAGCGTGTGCTTCTGCAGAGATGTACAGCCTTCGAGCGAGGCCTGGGGGGCAGTTCTCCTGCCGGGCCGCCCTCTGTTGGAATGGGCTGGATGACAGCGGGCTTGGTGTTGGTCAGCAAACCTTGGTCTCTAGCCCACCAGGGCTTTGTGTTTGCCTCCGGGCGGCCTCTCCGGGCTCAGCCTAGCCCCTGGCCCACAGCACGCGCAAAGAAATGTTTGTAGAATGGATGAGTGGGGGAGGAGATGAGCCAGTCAGGGTGCGATGTAACAACGATGAGAAATACAACTTTCCTCTAGTTCCTAAATGTTTCCTCCCCGCTCCCACTA